TTACAAGTCATGGACAGCAAGGGCAAGAAAACCTCTACGGGCTCACCCAGTGCCCAAGACACTCAACCCGGCAACTCAGGACTGCACACTTCAGGACTGCAAACCGAGACCGACGCTGCTCAAGAGATAACAGGAAGAGCACCAGAAATGGTGATCCCATCACCCTCTTCAAGCGTGGACCCAAACATCATGGAAAGGTTCTTCAGCTTCACGTCACACTTCGACCAGCATCAGCAGACGAGGACACCTGCGCATTCAACACAGAGCAATGGAGGAAACATGGGATTAGCGCCGATGAGCCTCGACAAGTCTCATGGAAACTCCGCGGAACTCGCATGGCATCACCTCAAGTGTCTTTATCAAGCAAACGACAGCGTGACACAAAGCAGGCTCATGCAGCAGCTGACAACAATACAGATGAAGACCGGGGAAAAGGCGATGCAGTATATGAGTCGCTGCCAGACACTCCGCGACCGCCTGCTTCGGTGCGGAGGAACAATCACTGAAGAAAGCTTCGTGACGCTTGTCCTCGTTGGGCTTGGGCCATAATGGAGAACCACCCGCTCGCTTCTTCGCGCCCATGGACGGATCTCGGAGATGCACCTTTGCGCCGAGCTCCATGCCGAACAACAGGAGATGGACCTATTTGAAGAAAGACAACCAAGGAAACAGCAACCATTAGTTTTCTACACTCAACGAAGAAACGACAACAACTACAACCGACGCGGCAAGCAAGATCAACGCGACAACAGAGGACTCACCATTGTGCCGCCGTTCTGCCACAACTGTCGAACATTCGGACACTCCAAAGTCAACTACACACGTCCCCGAGCTTATCGTCGAGTAGACCCACAAGTCGCTTCCACCCAAGAAAGCCCGCCGAGGCGTTCCTCCACATCTGCACAAGGCACACCGAACATCATCAATTGCATGGTACACATCGACAACTGCGCACCCGGATCACCACCTACTTACGCTCCAGACGAAGAACTGTCACTGTCGCGCTCACAAGGACTTCCGGTCAACCCAACGTACGCTGCAGTCGCCAACGCCGAACCCACCGGGCGAAACACTTGGTTCTTGGACAGCTGTTGCGGCCAACATATGTGTTCCTCCGGGCGCTTCGTGCAACGAGAGCGACGCCTCAACCGTGATGTCATCATCACCGTCGCCAACAACGAGAATCTGAAAACAAACAGACAAGGCATCGTTCAGCTTCAGTCAATGGAGACGAACGTCATACTACAACTCAACAAAGTTCTAATCGTCGACAACTTGGGATACAACTTACACAGCGTCAGCAAGTTAATGGCAAAAGGGATTCACCTGGAATGCGACTCGGACTCCAACGAATTTCGCCTTCACCACGGGAAGGGCGGTCTTTTCATCGGTCGCGCTCTGCTGAAGTCGGGCGTCTTCGTGTTGGATTTCATCCCCGACTGCGGTACTGCCGACAGCGATGGCATCGTGTCGTTCGCCGCATGGACGCACCCACCGGATCTTGACCCCGACTTCACCCCAGATGGATTCTGGTACTCCAACACCATACCTGCAGCAGAGAGAACACGAGCGTTAGCAGTCATTCAACAAGAAAGACAAGTACCAGCAAGCGTCTCTTCCTCGACATCACCTTAAGTAACAGCAGCAGGACCCAGCCGAGCACCATCACCAGCAATTCGAGGACCGCCAAACGAAGCAGATCAACTTATGCCCATCACACGAGAAGTGTGCCGAAGTCCTGCCACGGTCGTCGCTGTCACACGAACGAATGTGTCGAGGAAAGGTTGCACTATCGATCAGTACAAGGCGCTTTATACTTCCAGAGTACATCAGGTAACCAGGTTTATCTTATCCTAGGGGAATAGACCCTTCTAGAAGATAGAATCACCCTGCGTATAGCCACGCGAGGCTATTGGCTTTAAGGGATTACAGCAGGATTACGCTAGATAGAGCGCACCAGTACATCCCACGCCTGGTCGGTGATATAATAATAATAGCAGGATAAACCAAAGGTTGATGGAAAAGGAAGAATAGGAAACCAAATGAGATGGAATAAAAGAGAAATGAAAAACGAAGGAAATAAGAAAAGGCCAAGTGTATAACGGGGTCGTACTCTCACTGTCGTGTTCTTCTCCAACACCGACATGTACCACCGCTCGCCCGGCCATCGCGCTCCCGACGACATCTGGCACCAACGCCTCGGGCACCCTGCAAATAGCACACTACTACAAACCATCCAAGCCGAAGTGTTAGAACGAAACGCTCTTCTTACAACGAGCGGCCAAGAACTTCAACGACCACGCGCACGATGCCTCAGGTGCCCCGAAGCCGATCTTCCCCACCAACCTTTTCCATCACATCACAACCCAAGCGCACCTACATACGCACCGATGGAAAAAGTTTACAGCGGCATCTTAAACATGCCTCGAGACGACAAAGAAGCCGACTTCAACTATGTCATTACGTTCATCGATGCAGCAACAAGATATGTCTGGCACTACAACCTCAAGACACGCGATCAAGCTTTTGAAGCCTTCACGACGTGGCTCCCCATCGCTGAACGAGAATCAGGAACTAAACTCAAGAGCTTCCAATCAGACATCGCCACTACTGACATCGCCACCTGGTTCGAAGGGGAGCTGAGAAGTGACCTGACACTCACGGTGTCTAACACCGTGACCCAGTACCTGGGTCTGAACATCGTCGAAGACAACTCGGCATTCTACCTCCATGCTGGGAAGTACGCAGGCGCTGTCGCGAAGAAATTCGGACTAACACCGACTACGGACACGACTCCCTACCGCTACGGGAACAACAACGACACCTCCGCAAAACTCCCCGCGAAGCAAATCCAGGAGTATCAGCAGAAGCTCGGCTGCCTGCTATTCGCAGCAGTAACTTGGCGACCGGACCTATCTTACAGCGCAAGCCAACTAGCGACGCATCTAAAGCAGCTAGAACAAGAAGATCTCGAGGAACTAAATCAGGCACTACTCTACTTCGTCTCTACGCTGACGACTGGACTTACCTACAGTAAAGCAACGACATCGTCCGTACAACTACTTGGATACGTCGACGCCGACCACGTAGGAGACAAGGAAAATCGATGCTCAAGGACGGGCTACATCTACCGACTAGAGCCTATCGCGACTATCTCCTGGTAGTCGAGCAAACAGGAACTAATTGCACTATCTTCGGCCGAAGCAGAATATATCGCCCTCTGCACTGCGACCAAGGAAGGACTCTACCTGCGAGAGTTGCTCGAGGAAGCAAAGATTGCAACCCTGCCCTTCTTCTCACTCTTCTGCGACAACCAATCCGCGATCAAAATCGCGAACAAAGACGGTTTCGCCAACCGAACCAAACACATCGCCCTGCGGTATTTCTTCGTCAAGGATGAAATCACGAAGGGGAGACTTCAACTCAGTTACTGCCCCATGACAGAAATGGCTGCAGACTACCGAACGAAGAAACTGGCGAAAGCAAAGTTCGACTACTGCATGCTACTTACCGGGCAGATAAACGTCGCCGAATCTGGACACGTCAGCAATCCAGAAACGAAGGGGAGTGTTGGAAATACCTCAAGGACTTTAGCGTTTCTGAAGTGTAACACTACACTCGAGGAAAGTCGCAACGGGTACGCGAGTCAACGGAGGTTACACGAGGGGGTGGACAAAGAACACGAAAGGACTCGAAGGGTCGCAACCGGAGGTTGCGACTGACCGTTACAACTGCAAGGATGGTAACAGAACCGACAATCGAGTCGCCGTGCGACTCTATAAACCGCTCTTTCAACTGTATTCTACAACTGCTTTACTTTCCTACTTTCTATATATTGCTGTATGCTTGTTTCTTTAATCAATCACTTGCTCTCACATACTAGTGCAAGGGTTCAACTACTCCAACTTCCGCTGCACTATTCAAGCATCTCTTAGAACTGGGACTCAGTCTCTGGAAAGATCCTAAGGGCATTTCTCAGCCCAACAGAACTTATTTTTCAGACAGATAAAACATGACGACAATGCTCAATATGGGATTGCGGATTAGTGCGACGGAATTGTTCACTAACATTTCATTTCGACATTATAAAATAATTATCCTTTTGTACAATTATATTTTGAGCTCATGATTTTTTTACCTTGGAATTCCTTGATATTCATCAATGATATAGGTCTTTCAATAATTTTTCCAATGCTTGGCTGAATATTGTCAAAAGGGGTTCGCATATTAATGTTGGCTGGGACGTCTAGTATGGTTTTTTTTTTTTTTTTTTTTTTTTTTTTTTAAATAATGTTGTAATGCAAAGTCCTTTCGGAATTTTTCGGCCACGTGTTAAAAAAATCATTGAAAGATCTACATTGTTTACGAAGATCCTCGAATTCCATGGCAAAAAAAATCATGAGTTGAAAATAGTACAAAAATGTTTATTACATAATATCGAAATGAAATGTACGTGCACAATCCCGTCGCACTAATCCGCAATCCCATATTGAGTATTGTCGTCATGTTTTATCCGTTTGAAAAATAAGTTCGCTGTTAATTTTGCCGTCAGAAATTGACGGTATCCGAGGCACACTCTGTTTCCAGGTTCATTCAGCGACGTGCACTGTAGTTGACGGAGATTTTCGGGAATAGTTGCTGAGAACAGCGAAATGCTGAGGTACAGTGTGCAGCCAATGAAATTGTGAAATGCGAACCAATGAGAGAAAAACTAACCTAAATGAACGCTAAACCTCCCCTCGCTGCTCACAAAGCGACAAAATCCTCCTCTCTGTGCAATAAATGTGAATACTGTGCGCGGATCCCAAGTAACAGTAACCGAACAACTAAAAACCTTTTTTCGAACACCATGAATCCCGAACCCCATGTTTGGAGTTTTCCTTCGCGGCCTATTCACGAAGGTTCAATATGCACGCGTATTGGTGAACGAGACCTTTGAAGTATTTGCAGCTTGGGCTTTGTTCCTTCTGTGTTTGAGAAAATCGGTCACCCCCTAATGCGATTGCTGTCACGGCCAACAAAGGACTTGGCTGAGCAGAGGGTCATCCTGGGATCTCCATTCACACCCACTCGAGTTCCTTGCCTTGTAGATCGGCCTTCGCTCGTTCGCGAATTGTGACTTGAGGATATGGCTAGCTTGCATTCAAGGGATTGCATTTCACGCTTCTCCTCTCATAACCCAGCCGACTGGGAGAAAATCGTTCGTTTGAAACTATCCGGCATTTGCTGTGACGCGATTACGGCGGCTGCTAGATACGGCTCTCGCGACTTCCAATGGAGACTTCCAGTAGCGAAGCAGTCGAACCTGTCCCGAGCCTGACCTCCAGCCATGGCAGCCGTAGCAGGCTGATAATGTCAGACGTCGTTCTCGATATCTTCAAGTCCTTCGCTGGAGAGCATCGAGTCCGCTGACTGTATCACCATTGGATGCAGGGAATTGTCGTCTTTTCTTTCAACGACGTTGAAGGGAAAAACAAACGCGTGGAACAAATGCGTGGATCAGCTTGCTGTGAGTTTTTGGGGAAGAGAGGAGGAAAGGAGAGGAGCGTTGTGTCAAGAAGGAAGGTGAAAAGAACCGACACCTGGGAATGTCGAGCTTGGTCTGCTTATCTCCCCTCGTCTGTGTTTGTAACTTCTAAAGCTTTCTTGACAGGCCCTGGTTGCTGAGCTGAGAGGTGCCCAAGCTGAATCCAAGAAACTGTTAGGGAAGGCGCCTGACTGCAAGAGTGGCAAGGTGCGGATGAAACTGCATGATGGGGACGCGATTGAATGACGGGGATGAGTGGTGGGGATGAAATATCAGTGTGAAATTGAGTTGATACCAAACATCTGAAGATGGGAGAAACTTGGATTGATGCATCCACCGATTGAGATCAGAGAGAGACGCAAGGATTTATTTGGTTTGTTAGCTTCAGCCAATTACAGTCTTCCTTCTCCATCACTGTTCATGCAGGAGAACAGAACGCCCAAGAAGGAAACGAACCCGAGCAGCCGGATAGCGGGCTCGAGTGCCAAAGGCACGGGCAGAAAGAGGAACAGCACGGAGGAGAAGAGAGCCGTATTGCATCTCCTTCCTCGAATTTCTCCCCCCTGCGCAACACCATCAGGACAAGGGGCTGGCGAGACGGATAGAGCTGCACAAGATTCAGCAAGCGAGTGAAGACAAGTCTCGCAGTGCCAGGGAGCTGATCGAGTCTCTGGCGGCGCAGCTGATGCTGCGGATGTCACAGTGAGTAAATGCCTCCCTGCATGGCTATGCTGCAGTGTTTGAAGCCTTGCTGCTCGTTGCGTTGCCTGCCACATCGCAAAAAAGTGGCAATCTAAAAACCATTCGAGGTGGAGCGAGGATGCCGACTATCTGCAGAACATTCAAATACCATTCGCAGAACGTTCGCGTAGCATTTGGCAGGGTGTAAATGTAAAATGTATGTTTTGCAAAAGCTACGATTTCTAAACCCTATGATTTCAAAGCGATAAGCGTCTGTCCAATCGTAGTACACTCCTGTGTTTTTTTTGTTATGTTCGAACGTAATTGTTTATGTATGGAATATATCATGTGTGGGAAATAAAAATGATAGGGTTTGTTGCTATATTATTAGTGGGGTCATCACCTGCTGCGAGCACTGTGAATGGTTGTCGCTGCAAACTAAAAGTATCATGCTCAGTACGAGTCACTCAATTGTCAACCTCTAAGACAAGGTCAATTTAAACAAAGTCATGCATAAATAAGAGCGCAACCGGTGGTTCAGAAAAGAAACCGGTTAACGAGCCGGTACTTCGGGTCCGTGCAGCACGGAACCACATGTGCAAGGCTCAGGATGCTGTCCACGTCCACAACGGCATAGTTGTCGATGCCCAAGGTTGGCGTCAGGCGCTTGCACCTGGTGATGGGGCAAGGCTTCTGCGCCTCGGTGTAGTACTGGATGAACGCCCCGCGCTTCTCCACCTCCCCATCCTGGTAATGGAAAAGCACCAGGACACGACCATACCACGGCTCCCCCACGCCGCCGCCAGGCCTGATCGAGACGTCAGAGAAGAGGCGCTCGTGAGGGCTCGCCTTCACGAACTGGCCCTTTGAGGTCCACTCCATGCTGTCATGGGGGGGGATGGCCATGGCTGTGTGGACCTGGGTTTAGGGTAGGGGGCAATGGGGGGAGTTCAGGGAAGGCGGGTGGGTGTAGAGAGGGGGCACGAGTGTGCCTTGAATTATCGTAGATGGGAGGGCAGCGCTTGGCAAGGAGGCATGGTACCATGGCACATGATAGTCATATTGTATGATTAGACGGATTGAGCTCAGGAGGGGATAGAGGGGAGACGTGGACAGAGGGGCCACGGTAGGGTTTAGGGTGTGGAAAAAAGAGAGCCCGGTCCCACCAAATTGCTGCCATTCCATGCCATTCACTGGCCAAACCCCACCAATCCCACTGGTACCGCTCCCAAGGCCCCCTCCCCGTCCCACTTGACTCATTCCTTGCTATTCCCTGACTCTCTCTCCAAATCCTGCGAGAGCTTGCTGTTCGCGGCCCTTTCCCTCCCACTCCCACTCCCATTCTCAGTGATTCCTTCCTACCCCGTTCCCTCCAATTCCCCCCCATCCCCGTGCATTCCCTCCTATTTCCTCCCATCCCCGTCCATGGCCTCCCATTCCCTCCCATCTCTGTCCATACCCTCCCATTCCATGCCATGCCCATTTATTAAATGGGACCCTAAGAGCTGAGGTAGCCAAGTAGTCAATGCAGTCTCCCATTCCATGCCATCCCCATCCATTCCCTCCCATCCCTGGGATACCCTCCCAGGCCATGCGATCCCCGTCCATTCCCTCCCATCGCTGTTCATACCCTCCCATTCCATGCCATCCCCATCCATTCCCTCCCATCGCTGTCCATACCCTCCCATTCCATGCCTTCCCAATCCATTCCCTCCCGTCCCTGTCCATACCCTCCCATTCCATGCCATGCCCATACATTCCCTCCCATCACTGTCCATTCCGTCCCTTGACCTTCCAAGCCATACCACTCCCTCCCACTCACGGCCATCTCCTCCCTGCCATAAGGTGCCCAGTCACCCTGCCACTCCCTGCCCCGCCCTCACGTTCCATCCCAATCCCCAAACCCATGCCTCAGGGTCTAGTTAACGTACAAAGATTGTCCGCGTCTTAATCTTGGCGAGGCGAAGGCGCTCCTCCAGTTCGTGCATCGCCAGCACCCCCGCGGTCCTCATGTAATTGCGGAAGACAGGATCCCGTGTGTCCCCCGCTTCCATCTTCTTGTGGGTCTTGGTGAGGACACGCTGGTTCCTCAGGGATGCCTGTGCCGTGTATGGCATTTGGAGGATGGAAGCGGCAGTGGCGTGTTAGGCACGAGGTTGTTACGGGGTTGGCTAAGGGGTAGGTCCGTCTATACACTTGGAGAAATATGGGAATAGGGCAGCTAGGGTACCTGGAAACGCATGGAGTTCGAATCCCTCCACCCCTTTGGCCACCCATCAAACCGCTCCATACCTGCTTCATGGCCGTCTCGTACGACGCGTCGCCCCCGACCTCGCGGGTTAGCTGACGCACCACAGCGTGTTGGATGTGCTTCTTGACGATGCGCTCCCCCACATTCTTCCAGTTTGACCCGCGAGATGGCCTCTTCACTGTTGTTTTGTGTCCGTGCTCGTAGCAGTTCGATGAGTACTCCTGGGGGACGCCGCGTGCCGTGATAGAGGAGGTGACGTGGCTGACGCCATGTATCTTCACGATGTGCCACTTCGACTTCTGGTTGTCAAATGCCACCTCTAGTAAAGCCACCATCCTACTAGGGAGCGTGCACGGATGGATAGTGTGAGACGTGCAGAGGGGAAAAGGTTGCACAAACGCTTCAAAAGAGGTGACTGACACGGGGTGCGAGGAAGAGAAACTCTAAAGGGTTTAGGGTGGGGGAAGGGAACCAGGTTCTGGACAGAGGTAGAGACGAGGTAGTGGAGAAATTCCCACCCAGGGTTGAAGTGAATTTCATGAGGGAATCATCCTGGCTGGCCGTCCAACCAGGGGATGTTATATGGTGAGCTAGCACGGGAAGGGCAGACCCTGGTTGTGTGGAAGACCAGGGAGGAAGTAGGGAATTAGGGAGTGAACGGACGCACCGGATGAACAGACCCTTATTGACCTGTAGACCAGGGGAGGATAGAGGGATCAAGGGAGCGAAGGTAGGGATTAGAGTGTTAAGGGTATACCTTATTCGAAAGAAGGAACAGTGGGGGAACGACGGGACCAGAGGATGTAAGGGAGGGACCGGAACGAGTAGGGCAGACCCTGGTTACATACGTTACCTGTGGTGGACGGCGGGTCTGGGGGGATGGGCAATGTACCAAGGGAATTAGGAGTAGAGAAAGGGTTTCAGGGGGGACCATGGGGGTGAAGGAATGGAGCAGAACGGAGAAGGCAGATCCCACCTGAATGAAGGACCACGAGATTAAGGAGGGAGCAGAACGGGATGGGCAGAGTAGAAGAGTAGGAAGGGAGCAGAACGGGATGGGCAGAGTAGAAGAGTAGGAAGGGAGCAGAACGGGATGGGCAGACCCCGCCTGAATAAATGACCAGGGGATGGAAGGAGGGAGCGGTGGATGGAAGGAGGGACCAGGGGATGGAAGGATGGAGCGGGGGATGGAAGGAGGGACCAGGGGATGTAAAAGCAGGGGACCATTGTAATAGGGAAGGATCAGATGACTAGTGCACGGGGTGGGGACGATATACAGTGGAACCAAATGTCCCAGTGCGTGAGCCGACTCACTCTGTGGCGGACTCGTCCATCTTCTTGAGGCTGGAGTCGGTGTGGTACTCCGCACGTATGAACTGCTTGTACCAACTCGTTATCGCCAGGACCGCCTTGTAGATGTCGTCGCGGCCCGGAAGATACAGAATCAGCGGGAGCACCTGCATCATAGCACGGTGCTCTGATGCTGCGAAACCCGCCGTCGTAGTGAAGTACATCCACGCCCCTGGGAGCCTGAGCAGGAATGACGGCGTCACAGCCTTCAGAGCGTTGAAACGCCTGCCATGAGTGTGAGAAAGCGGGTGGGCATGGATGAGTGGTCTGGGTGGAAGAGAGCCTCCATGGCCAAGCGTGTTTGGGGCAAGAGAGAGCAACCGGGCACTACGTACTCAAGCAAGATCTTCCGCTCCTTCCTCGTCAGCTTGGCAGCCAAGCACCGCATCGCATGGAGCCAGAAGCCCTGTTCAATCATGTGCATGATGTCTGGCGGAAGAGCAAGGTAGATGTTGCCCCACGAAGTGGTTGAGAACTCCCACTTCCAAAGCACACACTGCACAGCAGACACGATATGAATGCAAAGGCAGGAATGCATGGGCATGAATGCAACGACAGGAATGCAAATACAGGAATGCAGGGGCATGAATGCAAAGGCGGGAATGCAAAGACAGGAATGCAAAGGCAGGAATGCAAATGCAGGAAGGCAAAGACAGGAATGCAAAGGCAGGAATGCAAAGGCAGGAAGGCAAAGACAGGAAGGCAAAGATACAAATGCAAATGCAGGAATGCAAAGACAAGATTGCTTACACAGAAATGCAAGGGTTGGGATGCATGGGACTCGGTCAAAGGGCAGGAATGCAAGGGCATGAATGCAAAGACAGGAATGTTATGGCATGCGGGTACGGAGCTTACAGCAGCTTAGGAAACGCAGTGCATGGGCGACCTACAGGCACTTGGTGCGTGGACCACTTGGCCTTAAGAGCGGCCAGCTCCTTCTTCTTCTTGGCTCGTACTGCTCGCTGCATCTTCTTGTAGATGAGCTTCTGTCCCTTCACTGTGCGGTTGATAGTGTCCGGCTGGACCTTGTTCAGGTTGTCCCGATCCACAAGGCAGATGGAGCAGGGCCTGAAGGACTTGCACTGCATCGTGCAAGAAACCTTGCACCCCTCCGGGTGATCAGTCACATAGGCATAGAGCACCGGGTAGACCGTGTGCTCCCCCCCCGCATGATCCACCACCTGTATCCCCCCCCTGGAAACCGCAAAAGTAGCATGCAAGGATGAGAGCCGCACTGGGGATGCTGGGGGGTACAACATAGTCGTTGCATTGCTACACGACATCTCACCCGTCAAGCTGGGATGTCTCCATGAGCGGGTTTGCCACAATGTCCAGCGCATCTTGGAAGGCGGCACACTTCTGTTCGGGAACAGGTCACCAGGAATGTTAGGCAGATTGCCTATCATCTCCGTGCCCCCCTCCGCCCACCTTGCCCACTCCGGCGTGTTTGCGAATGCCATCATCACGGGGTGGGCTGTCTGTCGGCCATTGTTGGAGAGATTGGTTTGATCGCTGAAAAGAATTATTCCCAACGCCTCTCCACGGTCCTTGATGCGTTCCTGTAGAGCATGCATTCAATGCATGAGGGATTTGGGCTAGTAGATCACCTATGGGCTACTGACGGGTGATCTCGAACGTATGCCAGGATGTGGGTGACACGTACCTGGGCCTGCAGCATGAAATCAGTGTTCATTGCCGTGCTGTAACGCCGCACGTTGCCCACCTTCCACTGGGCAGGTTTTGTCTGAAAGCCCTGG